GCCATAATTAGCCGAAAGAAGCTCAGTATCCCTTGTTGAGAAGGAATTGACTTCCTAAAACTAAAATTAGGCCTTAACGTTCAAAAATACTATCATGATTCTTGGAAGCTAAGAATTATCATATACATTCATGCATCAGAATACAGTAAAGATTGTCATGTCAGTTTCTCAGTCCCTAAATCATTGTAGGCATCAATACTTATGCCCAATGCAAAAATAAATGGCATCAATCTTCACATGTTATAACCAGCACACTGTCAGTTGCAATAGATCTGTAACCAAGACAATATTTACGTTTGCAGGCATGAGATTTTACAAGCAAGCTACTATTCCTCGAGCTAACATTTAGCTTTACTAGCTATAGGACTAGCAATGAAGGATGCTGTGATAATGTGTGGAAGTTCAACTCCTCTGGTAGATAAGAAAGTAATTTGTACTCCCACTCACCAAGGAATGGACACTATTGTTCATCCAAACATTAGCAGACACGTTGGTAGGAATTTTTCACAAAAACTTCTTTAGACAAATCTCAATAACACATGATAATAAATGAACAAGCATGCTGATTAATTTGTACGAGTGGTTGGTTTAAAGGTATAACTTACATTTATTAAATTTATAATATTAATACCAAAGCAACTTCAATAAGCATCAAGTGTCTTCTAATCTAGAATTTGGCCTTTCAAAACATGCTAGCTGTCACCCAGTCAGTGAAAATAAGTTTCATAAAGCAAGTTGAAAAGAAAATATCCAATCACAGTGCTCAATTTATTTATTTTTTGTTCATATACTGAGCAATTCAAATTCATAGATGGTGATTATCATGTTGATCATTAGTGCCATTGTTTCCCTCCATTTTATTCCATTCAAGACAAACCAACTAAGGATAGTCTCGAGGATACATTTATTACCAATTAAGACAAGATGAATCATCATTTTAAACTTGATATAGTACAAGTGGTTTGATCCAAAAGTGATACACCAACAATAAAGCTCGCGACCTAAGAAGCACGGATTCGGATACGTAATTCGAATACGACATGGGTACGCCAATACAATTTTTTTTAAAATTAGGACATGCGGCTATGTGTGTAGCATTTTTCATAAATAAAATCATAAAATTCATCATAATTTCACTATTATAAAAATAATAATAATAAATGAATAAAATAAAACAAAAGCGTGACAATAAAAATAAAATACTAAAATATTTTATCTTAATTCTAAAATGTCCCAACGTCATTTGCTTCAACATCCTCATTATCAGTTTCTTCAGTATCATTAAAATCACCCAACTCTTGCTCATCTAATGATAAATTAGTAGTTTGAAACAATGTAACACTTTCAAGAGTATAAAATGAGTCACCGACAATGTCCAACACTTAGGATTCTCCTTCTTTATAATTTATTAACACGATTTTTAAAAAAATTTAATATTATTATCTATTTATAATAATAAAACTATAATCATCAATTATTAGCATAATTTTACATGTATTAAATATTTTATACTATTATATATTTCAAAGAATAAAACTATAATTTTCAAACTATTAACAAGGTTTTACATGTTAAGTGTAAATTGGAATTATTTATTATCTTAATATACGTTTAGTTTCTTAGAAGCTATTCATTAATAAATACTATTTATTTTCAATAAGTTATTAATATCAACAATAGTTATGTATTAAGTAAAAAATATTGTTGTCTATTGTCAATAATAAGAAGTATTAAAAAAGTTTTAAATCAATAAAATTATTTTTCTTCTCGTGTCAGTCCGATATGTATCAAAGATTTAAAAACCATAAAATAATTAAAAAACACGTATCAGGTATGTAATAGAGAGTATCTAAGCATATACATATCAAATACAAGTACACAATCAATTTACACATATATGTGATTCTTCAACGGAGACATTTCTTGGAGCCTAAGTTTGTTTAACCGATTAATTTTTTTTTATACCTCACACTCCCCTTCCTCCATCCACCAATGGTGGATTAGGAGGAGGGCTAGACCAACAGCCCAATCCCATTTTCAAACCAAACTTTTTTTAACACTAGCACGTGTTCTGAGAAGCACCTACATAGATACGCCGACACATGATTTTTGGAAAAAGTTCTAACATAATATGTTACTGACACGTTGATTAAAATATGATTTATTAGTTTTTTATTTCTTTAATTTAATAGTCTAAAGTAATAAAAAAAATATACTTATTGCATCAAATATAAATAGTTAAATAAAAACTATGGCCCTGTTTGAGCCACCTTTTTGTAAAATGAGAATGAAAAATATAGTCGTTATTGGGGCCTATATAAGAGACAAAAAATTTGAATTTAAATGTTGATNCACATTTTTTAGAATGAGTATGAAAAATATAATTGTTATTGTGGCCCAGATATAGAAAATTTGAATTTAAATGTTGATGTGATGGATAACGGTCATATTTTTCATTTTAATGAGATAAAAAGGTGATCCAAACGGGGGCTATAAATCAAACTTGACATAAAAGAAAAGGGAATTTGGCTTCCTTTACAAGTTTTATTTTTAATTTGTGTAAAATGGTAAATTATGGTGGTGACATGTTTCCTTTCTTTTCAGATTCGAAAAACCACCTTTTTTATAAAGTGGTAATTGACCTGTTCAAAAATAGAGCCAATTTAATTCTCATTTACAATACAGCCAAACACGCCTCTTTAGTTCTACAAATTAGGTTTTGCCATTTTTAGCTGCCTAAATCTCTCTCTTCCTAAACAAATCCATTGCCTTCTTTGGTTCTTCTTAAGCCCACAACTTCTTCAATTCTTATTTAAAAAACTAGGGCTTCACGCATCGGAACGCGATGCCTCAATTCTTCAACAAACCTGCCGCAGAGGACCTCAGTCACGCGTCAACATCGTGTTGGAGATGTACTTGTGTTCAATACGTATCAAACATTGATACGCCGACACAAAAACGTGTCAATGCTTCACAACGCGTGTCCAAAATAAGAACAGCAAGTGTACCCATTAGCCCAAATCCAAATATGTCCAAATTATAGACAACACATCCCATCCATCTCTACATTTGTGTCTTTCATCTACATTGCTGTGTCTACTTCGACTCTTCTGCAGGTTCATGAAGCTAAGAACTGAAGAAAGTTCTGAAGGAAAGCTTTATTGAAGGTACTTAAGTTGTAATTTTTTAGTTTTTTTGGTACACCGTTCTCCAATTCCAGTTATTTTGCCCAAATTTAAAACCCTAGATTCAAACCCCAAATTTTATTTTATTTCTGGAATTAGAACTTTGATTTGTGAAATTTTATATCGATCTCGTTTCTAGGTATTTCACATTTACTGATTTCTGGAATTGGAACATTGATATGTCCATTTAGAAGTACTTATTTGATTTTAATGTAATCATTTTAATTTTTTTATCATGAAGGCTTTGAGACTTAAGAATAGACATTGAAGTTAAATATATAAATTTAGGCAAAATAATGGAACGAAAGGACAATCGATGAATTGGAAATTGCTATACATGCTTGGTTAAGTTTCTGCTTCTGAAAATTGCTATAGATGCTCAGTTATGTTTCTGCTTCTAGAAATTGCTAATCTTAACTTCTAATTTCTTCCTTTGTGTTTACCACTTTCCATTTTGCAAGGAAATTGGAGCATCTTCAAGAGCATTCCCCTATGAAAATTTTACAGCATTACTGGAAAGAAAAAATAACTTATATTGCTTTGGTGGGTTTCTAGTGTAGAAACTATTGACGATCTAAGGTTTGACTTCGCAAAGTCATAGGTATTCTCGTCTTGATCTTTCTCTTCTACTTTTTTTTTGTTGATTTTTTTGTTATCTGGTTTTGATTGTGTTCCAATTTTGTTGAATATTCCTGTCCTACCATTTTTTCGAATTTTCTTTCTCCTCTAAAATCCTCCATCTATTATGTATTTTTCTTTTCTTGATTTTCTAGTTTTATGGAGTTTAAATTTTAGGACATGTTTGGGCCAGATTTTAATATGATTTTAATCTAAGTCAAAGTCAAACAATCAATATCAACTACATCTTTAATGGTCCCACGTCTTTTCAATCACACGTTTCAAAAACTTTTATCACAATCCACTTAAAATCTGATTTTAATCTACACCAAACACCCCTTTAAACTCTTCAACCTCTTCATGTAAATTTCACTCTTTGCACTATGAAAAGGAAAAAAAAATACTATTTCATGGGGTCTCATTTCAGGAGAAAACTAAAATTGCCAAATGTAAAAAAGTTTAATTTGTGTTGAACATGTTATGTTTTCTTGAATTTTTAACATGCTTTATAGTCTGACTTCAATTTAAATTATTCACAAAATGAAAAATGACTTGTAAACAATATTATGACCAACCTTCATTGGTTGTTCACTTGTTGTTGCCTTGTCAGCAAATTTCATCCCCTACATCCTAAATTCCTAGATCTGCTCTCCTAAAATTGTCCAATAATGTATTCAATAGGTGATTGATTTGAGTAATTCAAGTGATCTCCTGTATTTTTATGAGGATATCTTTCTATCTGGGTAGAAGGGATACATGATTTCACACTGAGAGTTTGAGTGTTGTAATTTTCATTGTTTCTTTCTATGCTTAATTGAACAGCATCATCAACAGAAACTAGAGACGTCCAAATACCAAAAAGGGCTATTATTAAGACAGTATGCTGCTAGAGGTAAGTCTTCTTATTTTACTACCTTTATTGAACAAAATGTTCCTTGGTATACAGATTAATTCTTCTTAGACATGGCATGAGAGTTTCATGAAAATTCCAGTTTTTTTTTTTACAAATTGAATGCAATTTCTGGTTATTAAAAAAATATATTTCAGATTTCTTTGATTACTTATATGGTGTAGATTTAATTATTGAACTGGCAAGTCTTTATGATTGTTCTATGACCAACAAAGAGGAACAGGAAAAATCTGCAAATGTAAATCTGAAGTTCTGACAGAAAAAGAAATTAAAAAAAAAAGGATAATTTACGCTTCAGTCCAGATTATAACCAGATTTTCTCCTTCGTCTGTTAACCCCAATTTAGAAAAAACCTAACGCCACTAATTCTAGTGAATTGAGGTCAGATCAATTACAGCCACAAATTCCAACATGCTAATTCTATTTGCTGAAGCATTCTGGGGAAAAAAAAAAAAGGCACGCACCTTGGAGCTTGAGAGAAACGACGCCACTTTCAAGGGACACAACATCGACATTTCCGCCGTCCGCAATGAGGTAAGGCCTGACGTTATCAAGAACCTTGCCAACGTTTTCAATGTTGAGCTCGAATTGCCCGGAGGAATACAGCCCAGCGGTGGCGGAAGGAGGCCCACTTGCACCCACTGAGGCTTTTACACTAACATTCAATTCTCGATTATTCGGTTGATTTTTGTTCCTGAGATTAAGTCTCCTGATTGAGACTGATAAGGGTTTCTGGAATTTTTTGTTTGGGATGTTTGAAGAACGTGGGAATCCATCCAATTGTTGCTGCAGAGGACGCCATAGTTGTTTGTCAAGGGGATGATAATTATATGAAATTATTTTGGTCTCCCATATTCCATTTCGCAGTAAAGCCATCAAAATCTTTGAAGTGCAATAAACTCTCCAAATATAAAAATCATGAAATGATTCATTGCAAAAACTTTCGATTATCTTCTTGAAAATCTTTTTTTAAAATAACGTCGAGGGGTTGCTAAATTGTCGATTTTGGATTTGCTCTCCAATAGTCACTAGTTCAGCAGTTCGAGTCGCTCAAGACAATTGAGGTGAGTACCCGATCGTAAACTTTAGGACCCTGTGAAATTAATCGATGTGTATGCAAGTTGACGAGGACATCCATGGTTATTAAAAAAAAAAATCTTTCTTACACTCAAAAAACTTTTTCACAGTAATTGTACATCTCATTACAAAAACTTTCAATAATATTTTTAATTGTCGCATTACAAAAAATTCCGATAATCTTTTTATTAACTGTATTTCTCGAAAATCTTTTTTGTAGAAATTATATACTTCATTACAAAAACTTCCAATAATCTCTTTAACTGTGCTTCCGAGAATCATTTTTCACAAATTTCTTTTTCCACCATGGTTGTATACTTGTTAAAAACTTACAATTAGATCTCATATTCAAAATAGTGTGTTAAATTTCCCCTATTTTTCATTTTTTTTTCTTATTGTTTTTCAGTTCTAGTTTAATTTTTGCATGAATCAATTCATTTACAGTGCTATTTAAATGTCCAAGTGTTTGAATAGATCTCTTTTTCAAAATTTTCTTATTTTGAATTTTTAAGAACTCGAAAGTTTCATTATCCTTATTTCTAAACTCACAAGCTATTAACTGTCAAATATTGAGGGTTTCGAGTGCTGTAAATCTCCTTGAAGGGGCACATGGCTTGCAGTGAGGATTTGAGTGTTGCGAATTAAGGGACTGTTCTTTTCGTGTTTCTGTTTTTCGTTTCTCGTTTTGAATTTTTTGTTTTGAGTGCCCATTTTCAAATTGTTGAAAATATGTTCTGTTTGTTATTTTGAAAAATTAATTTCAAAAATGAAAATACCCAAAACGTGTTCTCGCCCCCCCTCTCCTCTCTTCTTCCCCTCTCTCTTTGTCGTCTCTCCCTGTCGTCTCGCGGTGGTGGTGTGCGGTGGTTTTTGGGTCGATGGCGTGGTGGTTGTGGCTAGTACAAAATGGTTTTGGGTCGGTGGTGTGTGTTGCTTTTGTGTCGTCTCGCGGTGGTGGTGTGCGGTGGTTTTGGGTCAATGTCGTCTCGTCGTCTCATTGTGGCGTCGTAGACTTCTTCTGCTGTGGTGGTTTTGGCCGATGGCGTCACCGGCTTCTTCTGTTGTTTGTTGTGGTTGTAACGTCGTCGGCGGTGGTTTTGATGGTGCAACGGTGTGGTTGGTGGTATAACCGAAAACACCTAAAACACGTTTTAAAAATTTTGACTTGGTTTTAACTGAAAACACTCAAAACCGACATTTTTGAAGTTTTTGATTTTCTTTGTAAATTTTAAACTCGTTTTTGGACTTGTTTTTGAAAATAAGTAATTTCACTATTTTGAAAAATCGAAAACAGAAAACGGAATGAAAACCGTACAGAGAAGATCCCCTAACTGTTCAAACAATTGAAGTATGAATTTATGAAAATGCTCTATTTTGTTGTTTTTGTTCTGAATTTTGTTAAATTGAGGAGCATAATTATTATCGATCTTAATGATTGCCACTTCGTGGAGTTGATCATGGATTGACCTCCGCGATGAGGATAGAAGATTAATACTTGAAAAGATTTATGGAAGTCAAAATTTGGCCGACATGCAAAGTTTTCAAAAGTCCCAATTGAATACACATTTTAAAAATTGCAATATTTTTAAAACTATAATGATTGTGATTCGAGTCTTATGTGATAGTCACATTGACGATTAGTGTCATCCCCTTCCATTATCTTTTTAGAACTCTTTTGGAAAAGTGCAAGATGAGTGTTGTATGCTTAAAATTTCATTTCGAGTAATGCTATTTGTAATTGCTCACTATTGTAGTCCACCTACGACCTACATGGCATGTATGTGGTGATTAGGGATTTGATGCATTAGTGTAGTAATTTTTTATTGCATCATGCATCAAATCAATAATCGTCATATGTAATGTCATATAAGGCAATTACAGTAGTGAACGATTGCAAATATTATTATTCATTTCGTAACTGTAATTCAATTTTCACAAAATTGTATTTATCGTGCTATCAATTCTCCTCCCTCAATTTCTTTTCACTCAATTTTAAGGAGAGTGCATATTTATTTTCACTCCTTTTTTAATACGGTGCAAGATGAGTGATACTCTAAAAATTGTCAAATTTGTGAATTGAGCCACTATTTGAGCCCCCTAAAGAATGTGTTTTGCAATAGTGATTTTTTTAAAGAATACGTAATTAAAATTAAGAAAAAAATCGATTTACGTATAGAATTATTTTATGGGATAATGTGTGGTTGAAAATTAGTTTTAAAAAAACGGAGGTCAAACATAGGATGAATCTCGTTAAGGTCACGACTATCGTGTTTGTTATTAGTGTTGTGGTTCGAGCCCCTTCCTTCCCGTCTTTTCTGAGGAAATTGCAAGATGTGGTGCTCTTAAAGTCGTTTCTACAACCCGATAGCTTTCTCCCATTTTTGACAGCGCATTTTCTGCTCCAAAAAATGGACAGCTAAACTGATGAACTTTAAGTGGCTTTGATAGTTGGAGAAAATTGTTTTATCAATAGCGTAATTATTTAAATCTCTATACGTCGCTCCAAGTTTTTCAACATACTTTGTTTTGTATTGAATTTTTTTTTAATAATTTGACTTTTAATTTATTTTTTATTCCCTGTGTATAATTGTGTAACAATGTTAGAGAAAAATTACATATTGCTTGAAATCAATTACTCCTCTAGTTATAATCTCTCCAAACAAACAAAAACAGCATGCCGCGTGACTTGACCCACTGCAATCTGAATTACTCAAATTAGAGAAAAATATTGAAAAAATAAAAGGAAATTTGGAGAGAGAAAAATCATATGTGTCACACATTACCGACAATAGCTAGACGTATGGCTATTTTATTGAAGAATACATTTATGATGTGATCATATACATGTATTGTCTAGCATCCTACCCACAAGCGTGCGTATGTGCCATTTGTTTAGGCTTCTAAGAATGAGGAGAAAGTTGCCTTAAGAAATGAAACCTCAGGAGGTCAAACTTGCGGTCTGTGAAAATTGATATTAGAGTTGTATCGAATGTACGTTATTATTGTGGAAGATCAATAACGTGCATTCTTGCGCGAAAAAATTTGGAACTTGGATCAAGCAAGCGGAATTGATGAACAAAGCTTTAAGGATGATAGAAAGAATGGTCGTTAATGTGCTAATGGGCCTATGTGCTTTGTCAAGTTTGTTTTGTGGAGTGCACATTGTAGAGCACAATGATTAAGATTGTGTATTTCGTTCGATAGGCTTACTGGTGTTACGACAAAGGTCGTCCACCTGAAGAACTAATACTTATAGAGACATGGTAAATATTAGCGTTAGAAGCAGAATTACTGTGGACAGATATAAGAGGGAATGTTGTGTGGATGTCCGTCCACGAGGGGATGATACTGGTATTATTCTTGCAATGAGAAATACATATTGACATGAAGTTCACTTTTCACTACAAGAACGTATGCAGATTAATGTCACGCATCGAGAATGCTCTTTTCACCATACAACAAGATCATCAGTTAGGCATATGATCTATTTTATTAAAAAATATACTAATTATATGATCATAAGTATTGTATAACATCCTATTCATAAGTTGTGTCAATTGTTCAAACTTTCTGATCTAATAAAAATGAGAAAACTGAAAAAGGATACCTTATGCTTTTGGATGTCTCACATCAAGCAAAGACAGGAGTTTATCGAGAGAATCAAGAGGTTGAAGAAACCTGTTCCCAACAACCACCAACGCCGCCTGTACCATCACCACCGCGACCACCACAACCACCATCTACACTCTTCCCCACCTTGACCAGCATCTCCACCACACCGCACTACCACCACCAACCAAAAAATCCTCAAACCTACCATCATTGTTGTCGCCTTCGCTGCCACGACGACCACCAATAGTGTCACTGCAATCATCACCATCTCCATCACAGCCATCACCACAACTACCATCTCCTCTATCTTCGTCTTAACCACACCGCAACAACCAACCTCACTAAAAAAACCCCAAACGGCCACCACCACCACGACCACCCCAGCAGTCGCGATACCACACCACGACCACCACCAACAACCGCCAAAATCAGCACCACCACAGCCACCCCCAACAACTGCAAACACAATAAAAAAACATAGATAAAATCAACAATAATCTGTACGATTTGCAAACTTCACAGTCAGAACTCAGCGCCGCCACCTGCCTCCGTCACACCACCACCCCTTTTCTTCTCCGGCCCGATTTGCAGCACCAGCCACTTGTCCATCGCGCCCATAGACAAAATGGCCACTTGTGACCAGAGATTTGAAGCCGGAGAAATCTAGATTCGGAAATCACAAAAGCCACGCCAAACGCCGCCACTCGAAGCTGGTGGTGAAGCCATTGCTCCAAGTAGGCGTCAAATACAAAGCGAAGAGCCTCAGCCAAAAAACAACGTCCGGCTCCTCCTCATTTTGGCTCTTAGCCTCCATCTCAGGATCTTCCACTTTCTTCTTTTTCTTCTGCTTCTTATTCCCTCTCAAATTTCTCCACCTCTACTTCAAATTCATCTTCATCGCCTCCAGCTCGGCGAATATTAGATCCTCCAACCCGACGAGAAGATAGAATTGTTGATAAGGTTTTTGGGGGGAGGTAGCGGTGCCGGAAGGAGAGAGAGAGAGAGAGAGAGAGAGAGAGAAGATACCGAGAGAAAAAAGAGGGCTGAGTGGGTCTGGGAATAAATGGATGGGCGGGGGAGAGGGGTTGGGGTGATGAAATATGTAGATTTAAAATTTTATTAATTACAATTAATAATCCTATTTATCACCTGATTTTTGAATTGTAAAATTTATTCTCTTATTTTTG